AAGAGCTTTAGAATTGAATTTTGTAGCACTTGTTTTGATACAATTGGGATTTAATATCTCTTTCCATGTAGCCTTGTTTAGGTTGTTGTTGAGGTAATATGTGTTCTCGGGTCGCATTGTCATGGTGTCAGCGATAATATGGATCCCCATGCAGCCTTGTCATGATGTCAGAATAGAGGTAAAGTCCCTGTGTAGCATTGTTGTGAGGTGCAATAAGTCCCTGTGCAACCTTGTTGTGGTGTCAGAAGTGAAATAAGTCCCCGTACAGCCTTGTTATGGTGTCAGAAGTGAAATAAGTCCCCGTACAGCCTCGTTGTGGTGTCAGAGGTAAAATAAGTTCCTGTGCAGCCTGTAATGATTAATCCCCATGCCACCATTATTTGCATTGTATCAAGGAGGCATCTGTCATGAGTTTACATGCTGCCTTTTTGTCATGGTGACAGAAGTGTAATATAATTATTGATGCAGACTTGTGTGGAATAGGTACAATAGATAGATGCAATATGAATCACCAAAGATTGAGTGTCTTGTGGCGAGGTGTTAAGCCATCTAATGTGAATCATCATGCAGTTGTTGGCATGGTGTGGGAAGGTTGATTAAAGGTGTATGAATATGCCATTCACAGATATTTGTTATCCTGTAAGTGTCTTTGCATGTTCCATGTAGCCTTGCTGGCAAAGCGTGTCAGATGTGGGACACACGTTCTGATGCAGTGACCTTGGCACCTTGTTGATATGGTTGGAGGTGTGTGGAGTTTGTAGCTGGAGACTCCACTATTTAATATGAGACTCCACCAGTGAAATTGCATGCGTTTCAAATTAACATAGATTGTTATTCCCGTAGGCATGGTATCAGAGGCACGCCAGTGTGATATTAATTTTCATAGTCATGTGGTAGGAGTATCAAAGGTGTATGTGTGGGTGCAATGCTTGTAATGCTTCAGACTGTCTGGAGCAGGGTTTCAAAGCATTGCCACCCAGTCAGCACATGCATTGTGGAAGGTATTGATGACTTCACACCATCATTGTATCATATTCCATACTGAGGATGCAGAGCTGATGGCATCAAGCTTGTCACCAGTGCATTGACTGGTCAGTAATAAGCAGTATAGATTATCAGGGAAGAACTCTCAGCTACCATTTGCTGAATCCTAGGAACCAATGGGCCCAGTCATTGACAGGTGAAACAATACTTCATCCAATTTTGTGGAAAGTTTGCTTTCAGGCTTGGGCAACAGGCTTATGAGTCTAATCTGTAAGCTCACCACACTGCTTGTGAAGGACAAGAGGTTGTGTGGGAGAGGAGATCGGCTTCATTCTACGAACGGTATTGATTTTCCCCGACTTATTCGTCAACCTAAGCTCTGCTCCCGGCTTGAAGTATTCTCATTATAACCAGATCGACTCTGTGCTGAAAACAACGCAATATTCAATCCACAGATTCAAAATGGTTCACACACACTCAGTTGTTTAATAATTCATTCTCTTCTTCACAGCATTACTTCAACAGATTAGACATTCTAACTTCAACTCAATATATTTTATTAAAATTCCCATTCATAATAATGAAGTCCAGTAAGAGATTCACAATTATATGCAACATTTACCAAGCCTTTCCTTCCATTTATCATGAATTGGTGCTCAGAAGATTACTATTATGTTCCCAATGGACTTCTTTTACGACACAACAACCCTGATCCAAATTTGGAAATTATCGTAAATCTTATGCTGCACAAGTCATGTGACCAAAGCAAGCAGCGATTCCAAGTTCCGGCTGACACGAGAAACATGGTGGTTGTGACGACACGCTGGATGCTAACTCTTGCTCTAGAGTGACATCTAGTGCCATCACGCCTCAAAATTCCACCTACCACTTCTTACTTCCTGTTTGACTGCATCCTCTCTACCAATCGCTCCCTCGCACTGTGTTAATGTCCTCCACAACGTCTGTCAGCATTCACAAGCAGTTGGATGAAATTCCATTGGTGCCTACATCGGTTGTAGTAGTAAAGAAGGTAGGCTTGTGGTTAAGGTTTTGTATTTTTTGTGCTGGTATTGTTTCTGTCGTTGCACACCTGGACTAATATGAATGTGATTGTCCAGGGATCACGGAATGTGTGATTATTTATAATGAACATGCCTTTGTGGGCAGAGTGAATGAGGTTAAAAGCAAGCGTTAATGATCTGTGGTGGTTGTGAAGTATAGATTATTACCATAGCATATGTGTGGTTCCCAAGCAATGTCGTGATTAGCATAAGGTGCATTATTGATTGTTTCTAAGTGTTGCTGTTAAATCTTGTCATAGTTTTATCATCCATGGTGAGATAAATATAAATATATATGACATGTGTCTGTCCAAAGGGTTCTTCAGCTGGATCTGGCACATTTGTGACAGATAGTCTGGGAACCAGTGGATACTAATGTAATGAAAATAATTGTTCGGAATCAAACAATTTCACATGTTTCCTGAATCTATTGTTTTCAAAATGGCAAGATGAGTTCAGCAACCTCTGTTTGTTTTGAGTGAATTAATGATAAGTAGCAGACAGTTTGGCAAAGCAATAGAAACCATTCATTTCTCTCTGCCCTTGTTCAAATAATGATGCTTCAGGCAAACTGTTGAAAATGTGACATTTGTGCCTGAAGATATATGTAACATGGGACTGATTGTTTTGTTTTGGTTTGTGCTCAATATGTTCCCTGTGACGCAAGAAGAACATCTGCACTTGAGAGACAGGCTGATGCTATTTGCAAGTAGTTTAATTTATAAAGTGGGATGCGGGTTAGCGTTTCTCATGAATCAACAATGCACATGCGTATATACAATACAAGATTAATTAGGGTGGCAATTTTTTTCTTGTTAATGATCATGACATCTGTCACAATATTGCAGACCTCAACAGGTCACAGCTTTCACCAACGTCATTTTGTTATTTCTCTCGAAAAATCTACAGAAATAGGTATTACTTTGTTCGTGTGTGTTTTCTGGGTGTGTGGCCCAGGATTGTGGTGTGACCTATTTGTATTTTTGATTCTGTGACTGGAAAATTGTCGAATGTGGATACAAAATTGTACTCATTTAATGTTCATGCTCTGTTTTTATTGTTAATACATGATGGTATGGTATTCACATTGTGTATTTGTGTACAATTATTTTATGCTAGCAACCTGTGCATATGACCTTGACAATGGCCTTCAATTGGAGTGCTTGAGTTTGTCGTATGTGTTTATATTAAAAGTAATGAGGTTGTTAATTCCATAATTCAAACCGACACATTAGTTGCTCTGTCTTTCAAAGACATGTGTATTTATTTAGTTAAGCATAAAGATAATGTCTCACATAGATATGATGGTTGATTTGGGATCGGGTGGTCAGGCTCACTGACTTGGTTGATGCATGTCATCGATCCCAATTGCGTGGATTGATGCTCATGATCTCAATCACTGGATTGTCTGGTCCAGACTTGATTATTTACAGCCCGCCTTCATATAGCTGGAATATTGCTGAGTGCGGCCTTAACAAACACACACAAAAAAAATATGATGGTTGATTAACAAATGCAGAAACTTTAAGGCTGTGGACAAAAAGTACAAAACTTATAAGGAAATTGCTTGAAGAAATGATGAAATGTAGACGAGAGTGTGTCATTATAATCTGTTCAGAAGCATTCTTCTGCTTCACGACCTTGTTTTTGAGGCGGATTACATTTGCTCAGGTTACAGTCAATCCTGTTATGTTTTTACCATTTTGTAGTGCAAAGGAAACCTGTTTGTGTCTGATCAATATGTTGTTTTTGATATGAGTAGGCATTAACCAGATGTCTGTTATTGCAACACTGCTAAAAAGTGGTCTTTCATCTGGCACTGGGACCTGGAGCTGCCTTATCACAATTCAAGAATCTGTCAGCTTGGTGGTCAACTATGTGTGCAGTGACAATCAATAATAGGGAAACGTTACATGGTTTGTTCTCTGATAAATGCCAAAAAAGCTTCCTAAAACTTGCTGTCTTTGCTCAATATCTGGAGTTGACAGAAAGGAGAATAATTGAATAATCCCCTCTGATGCGCATACACAGGTCTGCCAGAAAGCATCACAGTTTACAATCCTCCTTGTATTTGGGGGATAATTTGAAAATTAAGTGGATCACTGTCCTTATTGCCATGACAACAGAGAAGTGTTTCTGAAGAGATCATTTGTATTCTGAAAAGCAGTCATCTTGGGTAGGAGAGTGTTTGTGTCCTTAGTGAAACCATACTTCAGGGCTTCAGATGAAAGTAGCAAGTAGCTGATTAACACTTGGATATGTTAATCCGTCATAACTTTCATGTTTTTAGCACAGGACTGCAATACAATGAAGCTATTGGCATAGCGTTACATTTTTTCTGGCAACCTTTAGCAACAGTATTTGAGCTCAGACTGAGGATGCACTCATACATCGCTATTGTTGAGGTTGTTCAAAACAATATTTGACTTGTCTGCTAACTTCCTTGAGGTAGTTCAACCTAGCAGGGACTGATTGCCCTTACTGAACAGACAAAGTATTTCAATTCCACACATTGAACTCAGAACTAAAAGCAACAGACTCTGGAACAACAGACTTTGGATGATATTCCATATACCTATTTATGTTGTATATATGGTGTCATGTGATAGCTGAGTTATGTCTTTGAATTGATTTGTATTTTTAGAGCCATGTAAAATGGTCAATGACTGATACAGTATTAACCTTGTTGATTTTCTGTCTTCATGTCCCACAGCTCTTGCATTTAACCACTGGTTTGTCTGGTCCCAAGATCCACTGGCTGCATTGATATTTCTCAAATATTGCTAACTGAGACATAATCGAACATACACTCAACTACACACTGACTGGCTGCAAAGGCACAAGAGAAAGACATACATAATTATATTTCTGTTTCCAAGGAGGTGAATTATTATTTGGGGGGAGAGATATGAATGTCTCGCTCATTTGAAATAATATTATGTTCTTGTGTTTCAGGTTGATCCTTTTGTCTAGAGATGTCCACTGGATCCTGGGATGAATCATCAAATTTGGTCCCAGATCTACCCTCGCCAATCACAACTGATAAAGATGACGTCTTTGACAAAGGAGAAACAGCTTCAGCCAAATCCAATGTAGAAAGCCCAAAGAGTAAAGGATCACATTTCAAAAGCAGCAGTCCATTTAAAAAAGCTAAAGCATCAAAAGGTCTTGGTTTTCTCATCCGAGCATCTCAAGGGGCACACAAAAGGAATAAATCTCCATCAAAATCACCTTCTAAGTCCCCATCCAAGTCACCTTCTAGAGAAAATTTAACCAAAGAATTAGCAGAGGATGAAAAAGTTGATGAAACAGTTAAATCAAAATCCGAACACTGGCAGGCATTCCTGCAGATGCAAGATAGGATAAAGACTAATGTTTTGAAAACACAAACAAGTTTAGGGAAGCTAGCTTCAGGTCGTATATCGCCATCTGGTCGCATCTCTCCATCAAAAGCTGAAAAGCGTGATTCAAAAGATTCTTCATCTGTTTCATGGACACAGTTTGATAATTCAGAAGCACTGTCATCTGAAGAGCCTGAACAACAGGATGTTGAAGAATTGATGTCAACGGAGTTAAACGGGAATGAAAACGGAAATGATCTCTCTGCTCTCATAGCCCATCCAGGGAAAGACCTACCTCATCTAAAAATCACTCCTGTGCACTCTCCTAGTCGCTCACCCCAGCCGCCTTACAGCAGTAGACGGTCAAGCATGGAGCAAGAAAACCTTACAGATATACTGGAGTTTGAGAAGCCAGTAATATCTGTTCCTCATCCGCCTACTCCAGCTGAGGAAGATCTGCTAGGCTTGTCATTTACAGATGACCCCAATGCAAATGTACAGCCTCAGAGTCAAGTCTTTGTCAATGAAGACCTCTTGGGACTTGGAGATTTTCTTAGTCACCCCGCCTCACCCTCAAAGGTCCAAGTGACCACTCAAGATACTGGAATGTCTGACTGGTTCTTGGGCTGCTCAACAAACCAAAGCAGTGCCCAGTCTTCACTCTGTTCTAGTCCCCTGTCCTTTGACCAGGACTTTCTCAATGAGCAGGATCAGATGGTTCCAGAGAGCACTGCAGTGTCTGATCTAGCTCGTAGTCTGGTGGATGACTTCCTACAATGGGGAGTAGAACAAGTCAGCAAAGAGCAAGAACAGACCCCTGGACCTGCAAACCCCTTCAAGTCAGAGGGAATACTTCCACCAAAGGATCCTGCTACCCCAAAGAAGAAGGCTGTGAGTTTTGATCCCTTTGGAACTGTTCATACAGAAGAAATTGATGGTATTTGGGGTTCTGTTGGAAATCGTCACAAATCAAGTGATAAAAATCCGACTGATACACTTGATCCATTTGCTCCGCAAAAAGAGACCACCACTATCAGTGATTCTCCGGAAACCAAAATCACAAAGCCAGCAATTTCATTCAGTGATGATGCATTTGGAGAACCAAGTTCATTCAGTGACCAAAGTGGGTTTGGTGATTCTGGTGCATTTGTTGAACAGACAACCACAGCCTTTGGTGATCAATCTGTAGCTTTTGGTGACCAGGCAGCAGCCTTTGGTGACCAAGCAGTTGCTTTTGGCGACCAATCTACAGCTTTTGGTGACCAATCTACAGCTTTTGGTGTTCAATCTACAGCTTTTGGCGACCTCTCTGCAGCATTTGGGGAAACAAATCCTGCATTTACAGATCAAAGTCAACCACAGACCACAGCTTCATCTAAAAACCCATTCATGATGGATACATCAAGTGATCAAGCTTTTGATACCCTACAGTCAAAACCTCAGGTGTCCTTCCAGCAAGATATGGATTTTGATGACGATTTCTTTGAAAAACATACAACATCTGCCCCTGCTGCTGACATCTGGGGTGATGGAGGATCTGTCACTCAAACTGCTAATCCATTTCAGGATGATCTCTTTACAACTGCAAGTATTCCAGCCCAATCAGCCAGTGAGAAGCTTGATCAACTTGATGCCAAACCCAAAAATCCTTTTCTGACAGCTAGTTTTGAAAACATTGCTGCAGAGGCAAAGAAAGCTAATCCATTTTTTTCGGATGATGCTTTTGGTGTGACAAATACAAATACGGATTCTGGAACAGGTGCAGCTGACTTCCTGTTTGGGGCAGGTTCAGCACCAACAGCTCCAGCAACAACACAAAACACAGACTCTGCCGACATATTTGACCCTTTCAAGACTATAATTGATGGTGAGCACCCAGATGATGTTCCTGTGGGTGGCCTTGGCCCTGTGTCCAACAACCCACAACTCAATAACTCAACGTATGACAATCTTGACAAGTTTGACAATGATAATGATAATGAGAAGGACACGTTCATGCTTGAAATCAAATCTCTTGATGCTGTCTCCAATGTTTCAACTGGCCCCCCTCCTGCTTTGCCTCCACCACCCAAACCACCAAAGTCTCCACAGATGCCCATGAGAGAAAACCCTTTTGACAGAGACTCTCCTCCTGAGGAAAACTTTGCCAAGTTTCAGGTGATGGAAGAAGAGACTCCCAAAGCAAAGGAACAGCGTGATGTGCTTCAGAGCATGTCAACTGAAAGCAGCACTCCTGAAGAAGAAGATAAGTTTGGGCCCATAGAAGAATTCAATGCTAAGTTTGAAAGAGATGGCTGGAAGTTGATGCTAAGGCAACCAACAAAGAAAAAGCTTGCTGGAAACAGATTTTGGAAAACTGTGTTTGTTAGGCTAGCTAAACCTAAAGAAGGTGGGCTTTTGTTGAAAATCTATAATGATGAAAGTGACAATGAACCCGTGCAGGAGCTGCCTCTTCAGCCATGTTACTCCATATCTGAAACAGCACTGCAACAGTTTGATCAGTTTGGCAAAATCCATACTGTCAAAATTCAATATGTATTCTACAGGGAAAGAGTTGGAATAAGACCAGAGAGGATTACCCCTTCATTTGTGCGTAAACCGAAGCCAACTATGATACTAGATCATGCACCTCAAGTGTCTGAACTATTGAAATTTGGCAGTTTAAGTAAGGATGATTTGAGGACATTTGTGTGGGAAATTGAAGATGCTTTCATGAAACTAGAAGCCCATAGAGAAAAAACCTTGTCCTATAACAAAGATGAGGTTCAGGCTGAGGTCTGGGATGAATACAGAGCTGTCATCAACAAGGAAGGACATGTTGAAGCCCAGAAGGCAAGAGTTAGAGTATTCTTTCTGGCATTTGTTACTGGCATGCCATCTTGTGAGCTGGGGATGAACGACCGGAGGCGGAAGGGGCGAGAAGTTGTGGGAAGGTATGACATTATTCCTGTTAAAACTGAGGATTGGATTAGAATAGAGGAACCAGAGTTTCACTGTTCTGTTGACTTGGATGAATTTGACAGAACAAACACTCTGAAATTTCATCCTTTAGATGCATGTCAATTTGAACTTTTACGGTTCCGAATACGCCCTAAAGAAAACCGTGAACTACCAATGCAAATGAGAATCCAACAGATTTTGAAGGGTCACCATTTTGAAATTAGGTGTGACATGTTAGTGACTGGATACCATGCAAACAGCAAAAAACATGGACAGTTTCCATGTGAGGATATTGAAATCCGATTCCCAATCCCTGAGCCATGGATTTACCTGTTTCGTTATGAGAAGCGGTTTGGATATGGCTCTTTCAAAGCAACAGCTCGCAAACCTGGCAAGATCAAGGGATTAGAACGTCTCACTATGATGGCTCAAGGGGCGCTCACTCCCACCATCATGGAGGCATCAGTCGGCAGTGCAAAATATGAGCACGTGTACAAATCAGTTGTGTGGAGGATTAGCAGGCTGCCAGAAAGAAATCATGGTAAGACTCCACTGTATTTTTATGTTGCTATTAATCACTTAATGGAATGTGTTTCAACTTAAATTTAGTTTAAGATTTGGTGGTTCATCCTGCCTCGTCATTTTCATTTATCTAATCAAGAATGCCTTTAAAGAATTCATGTTCCCAGTACAGACCCAGAGCCTCAATTTACAATAAACCTTGAAGAAGGGACAAGACTGGGGCCAATTGGCCATCATAGCAAGTTGATTTCATCCTTTTAATACCGATCATGTTTGTTGCTAACTGAAATGTTATTATGTATCTCAAAGTAACAGTTAGGGATTACCTGCCCATGAAGATCCGGGCAAGAATAGGTCTTCAGCAACCCATCCTTGCCGTAACATGCAACTATGCCTGTCATAAGAGGCGACTAATGGGATCGGGTGGTCAGGCTCGTTGACTTGGTTGATTCATGTTATCGTGTCTCCGTTGCATAGATCAATGCTCATCATATCAATCACTGGATTGTCTGGTCCAGACTCAATTATATACAGACTGCCGTCATATAGCTGGAATATTGCTGAGTGCAGCGTTTAACAACAAACAAATAGTGATTACCTTCATAACATAGCTATTGTCTGTGTGTGACACCTCACTAACAACACATCTATTGTATGTGTGTGACACATCACTAACAACACAGCTATTGTCTGTGTGTGACACATCAATGACAACACAGCTATTGTCTGTGTGTGACACATTAACAACACAGCTATTGTCTGTGTGTGACAAATCACTATCAACACATCCATTGTCTGTGTGTGAAACATCACTAACAACACATCCATTGTCTGTGTGTGACACATTACTAACAACACATCTATTGTCTGTGTGTGACACCTCACTAACAACACATCCATTGTCTGTGTGTGACACATCACTAACAACACAGCCATTGTCTGTGTGTGACACATTATTAACAACACATCTATTATCTGTGTGTGACACATCACTAACAACACATCCATTGTCTGTGTGTGACACATCACTAACAACACATCCATTGTCTGTGTGTGACACATCACTAACAACACAGCTATTGTCTGTGTGTGACACATAACTAACAACACATCTATTGTCTGTGTGTGACACATCACTAACAACACATCTATGATCTGTGTGTGACACATCACTAACAACACATCCATTGTCTGTGTGTGACACATCACTAACAACACATCCATTGTCTGTGTGTGACACATCACTAACAACACAGCTATTGTCTGTGTGTGACACATCACTAACAACACATCTATTGTCTGTGTGTGACACATCACTAACAACACAGCTATTGTCTGTGTGTGACACATCACTAACAACACAGCTATTGTCTGTGTGTGACACATCACTAACAACACAGCTATTGTCTGTGTGTGACACATCACTAACAGCACAGCTGTTGTCTGTGTGTGACACATTAACAACACATCCATTGTCTGTGTGTGACACATCACTAACAACACAGCTATTGTCTGTGTGTGACACATCACTAACAACACATCTATTGTCTGTGTGTGACACATCACTAACAACACAGCTATTGTCTGTGTGTGACACATCACTAACAGCACAGCTGTTGTCTGTGTGTGACACATTAACAACACATCCATTGTCTGTGTGTGACACATCACTAACAACACAGCTATTGTCTGTGTGTGACCCATCACTAAAACCGCTAAGACCTACACTGGGAAAGGGCACAAGACAGTTCACCTCTAATCTTTGTCAACCCAGCCAATACTGAGACCAGTATGTTTTGAAAGAACAGTAGTCTAAAATTAATTGTGGACTAGCAGGATTAAAGACTGTGAAGCAAGAATCTTATGAAGGTTTGACATTGCATACTAGACATTTCAAATGTGTCTGATACAATTCTAGGTTGCCTTTTGTTTGTGATCCTATGTCATAGTGCATTGTCCATCATCAACATAATGTAATAAATTTACACTTGTTGTCATAAACATTTATACACACCCTCTGAAACCACAAGGTATAGGAATCTGATCAGTTTGAAAATATTATCCAAACAAGCATTCCTATTTTGTTCATGGAATTATCAATATTCATCATAGCAACAGCAGAGAAAATGAAAATTCTCAACCGTGTAAGCATGTAGCATCATGTAATTTGACATGTCAGTGAATATTTATGTTATGCATGATAAGCATACACCTGACCATGACCATTGGCCTACACAGTATTACACCCATGTAATCTCATGACATATCTGATGAATCTCCTTAGCTTACGAACCTGAAAATTATATAATTTGCTCACAAAATTCATATCTGATCTTGCCCCCACAGCAGGTTTATTGAAATAGTTTTCTAGGTCACTGCAGCCAGTTGTTCTTGTATATGTAATGTCATACATGTATACATAAAGTCTGCTGTGCAGTGGCAGATGTTGTGTATTTTTGCATATTTTGAATATGTGTCCCTTGTGTTGCCTATTGTAATGTTGATTTATGATGTTGCAAATGTTGTTCAGTTGACAGTATTGACTCTATTCTTCGTATTGTAATTCAACTGTTTTTATACAGATATAATTGTATGTAATTATCATTCATATAGATAACCAGTCGTCGGCTTAGGCGCCACGATTCGCTGTGCAGAGTTACGTCCCTTTGGCACGCCAGAAACCTATGATTATGGGTTCGAATCCCGGTTCGCCCCAATTATGTTTCTAGGTTTGTCAGCACCATACCCGTGCTCGTTGGTTTCATCGAAGTGGTAAACGTCTGAGACCTGCATCACTTCGGGCTTTCCTCCCACATTGAGCTGACACGCCATGATATAACAGGAATACTGTTAAAAGCGGTGTTAAACCCAACTCACTCACTCACTCATATAGATAACAATCACTGGACAGCGTTAGAAACTAACAGTTTTTTTCCATTAGTCCTTGTAATGATAATATATAGCAAAACCCTTATTTCTACTCATTCTTATGATAGATTTGTGTATAAATAAACTACATATTGTCGACATTATAACTTTTATTTATTTTGTATAAGTTAATTTGCATAGTCCCGTTTACAATGTTTTCGCCAAATGCGGTGCACAAAACAGTCGTAAACTGTATGGGTATGTGTTCATTGTGGTACTGAACTTAACGTCTTTGTTATGCCATTTGGTAGTTTCTTGGCAGTTTCGTTGCAAGTAAACAAACACTTCGAGAAGTTGTGCCATGTGCGAGTTCGCCACGTGGTTTACTATAATTAGATTCGCTCGCGCAGTAGATGTCAGCTGACCGAAGGCTAACTCCTCCCACTTCTGTTGTTTCACAGACGACTGGATTTTTTACAACCAAACATCAGATCGAATGTAATATTTTTTTATATCGTGTGACTTTTGTTACACTGACTGGTGTAGGGCAAATCTGTCTTCCAAGATTTGGATGTGAATGTTGTCTCGTTCTTTAGTTATTCAAGATTTTGGGTCACCGATTACTGGCTGACCGATCATCGCAACGTCTGTCAAACACTAAGATCTCGCAAAATACCGCGCTATTTATAGTCCGGTTGGGACTTTAACTAGTTGGCAGTTTGGCCAGGACTATAGGGCTAGTTATAATTTCTAACGCTGCTGGAGAGCTTGTTTATATAAATAATTAATATGATAAATTAACTTCACTATCACAGATGGTATTGATTCCTATCTAAAATAATTCATCACATGTAATTACACAGACATTAATTTTGTCACTTCCTCATTAAGTGTTATTATGGTAGGTGGTAGTTTCAGAGGAAGCTTTCATGTTTATCAGATTTCGTTGAATACAATGCAAGAAAAATGTTAATGATAAAGGTTCCCATTGCATCCAAGGCTTTAATCTCGAAGATGCGGAATCCAATCAACTTTCAAAACCAGAACTGCAGCTTTGGTGCAAATTGTTAAATGTCAGGATATTTCCCAAAGGTATTACACTTGGCATATTTCCTATCAATTTGCTCAGACAAATTACACTTTTCAATCCCATTGCAAAAAAGTAACTTAATTTCATTAAACGATACACTGAGCACACCGACAAGTGGTTATGCTAGCAGGATGGTGTTATATTAGATTGTATACCATAGGCATTTGATGGAATATTATGATTAAATGTGCTTATGTGAGCACTTCCATAGGCATTTGATGGAATATAAGATTAAATGTGCTTATGTGATCACTTCCAAAGACATTGATGCAATAAATGTGCTTATGTGAGCACTTCCATAGGCATTTGATGGAATATTACAATTAAATGTGCTGATGTGAGCACTACCATAGGCATTTGATGGAATATTATGAATAAATGTGCTTATGTGAGCACTTCCATAGACATTTGATGCAATAAATGTGTTCATGTCAGCCCTACCTTAGATATTTAATGGAATATTATGAATAAATGTGCTTATGTGAGAACTACCATAGGCATGCATTTGATGTACTATAGGTGCTTATGTGAACACTACCATTGACATTTGATGTAATAAATATCAAATCAAATCCAATGTTTATTGTATGATAGGCCAAAGGCCCCGATACATGAAGTGGATACAATACAGTCCAGGATGACTTTACAAGTGAATCACATGTTTCATTTCTGTACACATCTGATCTTGAAGGCATATTTTAAATATAACAGATAACAGATTTTAAATATTGATAATTTGCCATAAGGCAAATAAATTGTTGGACTGATGGTCGAATTATATATTTATTTGGTATGTTTTGCTTCTGAATATCTTTTAAGGATGGACATATAAGGGTGAAATGATACAAATATTTGGTATTGTTTAGATTACAATAGGTACATAATCTTTCAGATTTTGGAATTTGATGGTGTCTCCTGGTATCAATATCAAGCCATGTACATCGAACTTGAGCTCAAGCACCATCGGCAGCAAATGTACACAAAGTCTAATCTATTAAATAGTTCTCTGCTTCAAGGCTTACCGTATTCAATGCAATAAGTGCCCAGGGCGCTCTCAAAAT